CAGACAGGAAATATAATCAAATATACTGCAATGTTTATACATAAATGCGAGATTTGTGATTAATGAGACCCTCTACTTAGATTGTAGTAGATAATACTGTACCAGGTGTTGAACCCGTTCTCTACCATCGGTTCTAAGCAACGGTTACCGCAGGATGGTGAGTGACTTTTGTTAATGTTAATTCAAGGCCAAAAAATGTTTTGTTGCCCTCAGCGACCGACTGAAAAATATGAAATATCGGGTCGCGATTTTTTTTAATAGACGCAAATATTAAAAACTCACAATTTTAGGCAGTGAAAAAGTGTTTCCTCTAAAAATTAACGATTTGGACCGTTGTTTGTTCTCCAGGGTCCTCGGGGGGGGGGGGGGGTAAGTGACGACTGTGAACCTCAGGTTGATCTGTATTTTTCTGACATGTTTCGAATACTATGAAGTCTGAAAAGCAAACACGTCTTTTGCATTTTAGGCCATTTTGACATTTGCGATTCGACGGATAGTTGGTGCACAATATTAAAAACATCGCCGCACCAAGTATTTTCTTAATTAAATAAAAACATTATTTTGAATAAAAAACAATACGTTTGTTGTAGTAAATATGATTTTTATTACATGAAATGCACACAATTTTATTGAATTTACAAAACGTGACATTTTATATTAAAACTCTCATACTCTTACATCACGAACAAAACGACAGCTTTTGCACGTTGTTTTTGCGCTGTCAGTATTCTCACTTTCGGGTTTGTCATCGTGTGTACGTACAGGTGTACAGCAGTAGCGAACATGGCGAACACGTTTGCTGTGTGCATGACAGCAAGAGCAGCGGCTGAAGGAGGAGCGGAGGACAGAGATGTTGAAGAGGACAATGTTGTTTAAGGAAAAGAAAAAAACTAAGACCAAAAGCGTATGCTGATGGAAATAATAAAATACAAAAGAATGAAAGAAACACTTTGATTTTTGTGTTTAATATCTAGCATGCGTTTGATCGATTCCCATATACCTCGGCTGTTTACGATACCCTTAGTTTTCACGAGTTTAAAAAAAAACAAAAAAAAACAAAAAACAAATCCGACCTACTTACCCAATGTTTTCAATTTTTCCAACTTGAGGGCAACATAAGTTTTTTTTTACCTAATAGAGTTACACGCTCCGGAAGTAATTTTAGTCAATGAGTAAGGTTTCAGTTAATTTCAGTCAGATTATTGCATTATAGTGAATTGTCTTTATTGAAATCGGGAGGGGGGTAACAAAAACCCGGTTAGACCGGGAAAATTAGGGTTAAACTGCAACTCACACCCGTGTTCCAGCTGCAGCGTGCAGCGTGCTCATATCGTGCTAATATGCTCTACAGATTTTCAAAATCTACTCAGACGAGATACATTTGGTTTTGACAACTTGGAGTGACATAAATATTATCACGTGACCAGGGTTCCGATGTAAATGAAATATAAAGTTATTTATGAGTCAACTCAACTTTATAATTAATTATCGTTTTCACTGTGACCCACATGTATTAACAACTCGTTAACGTGTGTAGATGTGATCACGTCACGTTGACACAAGAAACGGTTGTTGTTACAATGTCGGTGTAAATACAGTTATAAAATCATGATTTGATTCAAACAGTCATCGAAAAATCTCAAATTGTTTTCCGGATACATCTGTAATAACTGCATTAGATCTATATGTCCAAACTATTAACCTCAATCCGGTCACTTTTAGGAATACGATTGATGTAAATGTCATCTACCCGTAGTGATAGAGGAAACATTTATAGAAGATTACGGCACTACAGACAGGGTACAATTAATCATAAATAGTATGTTTATCTGATTAAGTGCAAGACTTGTGATAAATAATACAATCTACTCCAAATGAAGTGGACAATACAGTCACATGTGTTTGATTCTTACAAATGTTACCACAAATCAATGTCAAACTAATAGTTAAACTGTTCACATCGTCTAGTAGTACGTACAGGAACAAATAAGACCTGGATCATGGGGTAAAGACATTGACAAATATACTCGATTATTGGTCGCCACGTGGCACTCACCAATCCACGTGATCTACACTAACGCCATTTTGTGCTTTATTATCATTGACGTCAAATCATAATAGGTGATAACATTATAACGATGCAATATTTATGATGAAAATAGTTTGTGTGAAATAATTCCTCTGTATAGGATTATTTTAATGGCATGAGAAGGAAGCACCACACAACGAAAGCAAATTCTTTCTGTCTGCAGTGTCCGCCCTCTGGTGACAGATCATGCTATGTGCTTCAGATAAACATAGGAAGTCCCCAAACTTGCTAAATCATACTTTTTGACTTTTCCTTGTACAGAAAAAATAAACACAAGACTTTCAGTGTTTTGAAGGTGATGTTAAAAAAGATATTCTTCCGTTCAAAAATAAAAAAAAAAACATCACTAGATTCCGACATCTGAAGCCTATTTCGACAGTTTACAGCTACATGGAACACCGAGTGTGTCGACACTCTAAGCTGACCAATGAACGCGCACTTCTCTTCCTAGCTATGGCCGAGGTCGCACACGCCAGTGGACTGTGTCATAACAATATGACCATGTTTAATGCCATGTATGCAAATTAGGGAACACAATAAAGTCATGTACACAACAAATGAATAGTGAATGATTTTAATTTTATTTCATGAAAATATGTCGTAAAAATTGAATTGTCATTTTGTTTAAATTTAAAGTCTATATACAGGACTGTATAACTAAAAACGATATTGTAGTTGGAAACCAGTACACGAGTGCCGACGAAATATAGCCGCCATTTCCTGGTAATACGTCAAAGGCATGTTATCAACCGTAAGTTTAAACAACCCCAGAGGGCGCTGTGGGTCACGTCGTTGCAACCTGTCTTTTACCATTGCCATAACTTCCTCCATCACCGATAAGTTTACAATTCCTGCTTTAATTTCCAGTCGTAAAAGTTGTTTGCAATCTGAGACTAGATTCAACAGTCCGCGCTCAACGGGAAACGAACTTGCTTGTACTTCTATGAGGACACTCTTTAACGTGTTACCAAAACTCGTCGCTAGGTGGCGCAATGTGTCATCTGGTTTGAAGGTATCCTCCGGATTACTTCCTGTTATTTCTAAGTGTTTGAGCGGAATAGCTGGGTTCAGAATTCTTTTCACGGTGTCGTAGTTATAAACACCATCTAAACACATGGTTACAGATAATTGAGGACAATATTGTTGCAGTACTATCCAAGTAGAAGGGCGAATTACTTGTGTGTAAGGCTCGTCTTTACGACACTTAATATACAAGGTTTTCCAACAGTTAGCATTACTCACTCCCATGGCAAGTAACAAGTCATTTGATACACAGTTGTAATTCATCTTAACCTCTTCTAAGTTAGTGAATCTGACCATAGCTCTAATAAAATCAGCAGATCTGTAGATTGCCATATGAGATCCAAAGAAATCTTCTAGATTAACATTACGCATTGTCTTGTTTGATCGCTTAGCAACTGCATCCAGTACACTGTATCCGTGTGATTCGCTCATCCACGATGACGACATATCAAATGATATTAAACTGTGTTGCGTCTTGAAAAATCGTACCATCGACTTGGTGAGTTTGGCTTGAGTTGCAATATCTTTGAAGTAGCGGTCAAGTTTAAGTTCGGTGAATGAAAAGCTCCGCAGTTGTGTATCTTGTTTGAACAAGTGGTTGAAGTAAGTCGTCAATGACCTCTGAAAACGACGTGCGTAGCGTTCACAGTGCATTGTATTGGTCGCGGTACAAGTTCTCATGAAACGTCCCACACTTTTGGCGTAATTGAGTGCCCGGTCGTCACAGGAGGTGCCGTCAAACTTGAAATGTCGCTTTCGCCATAGTTGTGGTGTCTTGTACGCCGTATTCCAATGACTGTTCACAGACCCCGCTTGACATCGTGATTGGTCGTCTAAAAGACAATATATTTTGGAAAGTGCTGTAAAAGGTAGAGTGTCCCAGTCGACTGATTTGTTGACTTGTTTCTCTGTTTGGCAATCCATGTTGACAGTATTACTGCTGCTGTGTTCAGAAATCATTGTGCGGATCGCAAGTGATTCTCTAAAAAATAAACATTCCAAACATTCCATCGTCAATGGCGATTGTGACGCGTTGTTCCATTCCGCGTACAGCGCGTATCGCTTGGTGGCGCTGTACCACAAAAGAATACTGTCCGCAAAGAAACGCGCGTTCGATGCAACACGGCGATGCAGACTGACACGATGTGTTCGTAGTAGAAAATGTATAGTTTATTTTCATAGTGACTATGGCTCATTTATACGAGAACATCTGTGAAAGCTGGAAAACTACAGCTCCCTGTCTGAAATACATGGATGACAATCCTCGGGCGGACAGCCAGGCATTTTCACAGCCTGGCAACCCTCCCGGTGAAAACAAAGGCCAAAAACTCGCAGAAAACGATACTTTGGGATGGTTGGTCCCCTGAACAGTGTAACAAGATTATCCCTAGGTGTGTAACATATATAAATTTGGTTGTTCATGTTTAATTCAAAGTTGAGTTTGTGTTGTTTTCCCGAATTTTCACCGGCTCGACCTGCGTTCCACAGCAGCGCGCACAAAGCCCATAGAAATGCATGTACAGGAAAGCGCGTCTTAGCAACGTGGAACGTCTTGTGACGTAGCTCCGCCCCGAGGATAGGTCATTTTCCGCTTCGGTTTGACTCCCATTGAGACAGATATTATTTCGAGATGAGGTTTATAACGCGTAGGACAATGTGGTTGCTACCATATTGAACTGAAAGCTTGACCTGTATCACGTGACTCAATTGGTTCCGAAAAAATGACTTATTAACTTCGTTGACATAATGGTCTACGATTGATGTAAATACCGTCCACGTGTCATAAGAGATTGTACAATGGCTGTCTTGAATCGACCAATGAGCACCCGAGAATTGCCATGGTTATCTGCCGTAAACCTGTGTTATGACAAGATACATTCCAACTTATATTCAACAATGTCAATACGGAATTCTTTGTGATGAATGTTTTTGGCAAACCCTCTTGTTTTTAGCTGACGAAAATTTCTCCACTCACAAAAAACTAATGCAGCCCATTTATTCGCTCGTTGCGTTCGCTTTGGAACCCTGTTTGGATAGGGGATCTGAAAAGTTAGTAGTCGATGCACCTGGCATGACTCGTGAGTAGAAATGAATATCCGATAACTGTGAAACAGTAACGTTGTCAGTCATGTCAACAAATTATTTCACCAAATTGTCGACACCATTAACGGATTTAACACCCGCCATTCCGACATCTGGTACGCTAACTTAGTCGGATGGCAGAATTTATTTTCATTTTAATGCGTGATAGTTCATTTTTGAAATGACAGCGCTGGTGGTATCACGGCGTAAATCTCACGTGATTATGGATTATCAAATACGGAAATATTTATAGAAGATTACTTCACCACAGACAGGAAATTATTAATTCAAATTATACTGCAATGTTTATTACATTAAATGCAAGATTTATGATAAATGAGACCCTCTACTTAGACTGAAGTAGATAATACAGTCTCACAGATAATAAACTCACCATTTTAGGCAGTGAAAAAGTGTTTCCTCTAAAAATTAACGATTTGGACCGTTGTTTGTTCTCCAGGGTCCTCGGGGGGGGGGGGGGGTAAGTGACGACTGTGAACCTCAGGTTGATCTGTATTTTTCTGACATGTTTCGAATACTATGAAGTCTGAAAAGCAAACACGTCTTTTGCATTTTAGGCCATTTTGACATTTGCGATTCGACGGATAGTTGGTGCACAATATTAAAAACATCGCCGCACCAAGTATTTTCTTAAGTAAATAAAAATATTATTTTGAATAAAAAACAATACGTTTGTTGTAGTAAATATGATTTTTATTACATGAAATGCACACAATTTTAATGAATTTACAAAACGTGACATTTTATATTAAAACTCTCATACTCTTACATCACGAACAAAACGACAGCTTTTTGCACGTTGTTTTTGCGCTGTCAGTATTCTCACTTTCGGGTTTGTCATCGTGTGTACGTACAGGTGTACAGCAGTAGCGAACATGGCGAACACGTTTGCTGTGTGCATGACAGCAAGAGCTGCAGCTGAAGGAGGAGCGGAGGACAGAGATGTTGAAGAGGACAATGTTGTTTAAGGAAAAGAAAAAAACTAAGACCAAAAGCGTATGCTGATGGAAATAATAAAATACAAAAGAATGAAAGAAACACTTTGATTTTTGTGTTTAATATCTAGCATGCGTTTGATTGATTCCCATATACCTCGACTGTTTACGATACCCTTAGTTTTCACGAGTTTAAAAAAAAACAAAAAAACAAAAAACAAATCCGAACTACCTACAAAATGTTTTCAATTTTTCCAACTTGAGGGCAACATAAGTTTTTTTTTTGACCTAATAGAGTTACACGCTCCGGAAGTAATTTTAGTCAATGAGTAAGGTTTCAGTTAATTTCAGTCAGATTATTGCATTATAGTGAATTGTCTTCATTGAAATCGGCGGGGGGGGGTGTAACAAAAACCCGGCTAAACCGGGAAAATTAGGGTTAAACTGCAACTCACACCCGTATACTTCTACATTGGAGTATTCCCTTCCCGGGTGTGTATCAGTCAATGTTCCAGCTGCAGCGTGCTCATATCGTGCTAATATCCTCTACGGATTTTCAAATTCTTCTCAGACGAGATACATTTTGTTTTGACAACTTGGAGTGACATAAATATTATCACGTGACCAGAGTTCCGATGTAAATGAAATATAAAGTTATTTATGAGTCAACTCAACTTTATAATTATCGTTTTCACTGTGACCCACATGTATTAACAACTCGTTAACGTGTGTAGATGTGATCACGTCACGTTGACACAAGAAACGGTTGTTGTTACAATGTCGGTATAAATACAGTTATAAAATCATGATTTGATTCAAACCGTCATCGAAAAATCTCAAATTGTTTTCCGGATACATCTGTAATAACTGCATTAGATCTATATGTCCAAACTATTAACCTCAATCCGGTCACTTTTAGGAATACGATTGATGTAAATGTCATCTACCTGTCGTGATAGAGGAAACATTTATAGAAGATTACGGCACTACAGACAGGGTACAATTAATCATAAATAGTATGTTTATTTGATTAAGTGCAAGATTTGTGATAAATAATACAATCTACTCCAAATGAAGTGGACAATACAGTCACATGTGTGATTCTTACAAGTGTTACCACAAATCAATGTCAAACTTATAGTTAAACTGTTCACATCGTCTAGTAGTACGTACAGGAACAAATAAGACCTGGATCATGGGGTAAAGACATTGACAAATATATTCGATTATTGGTCGCCACGTGGCACTCACCAATCCACGTGATCTACTCTAACGCCATTTTGTGCTTTATTATCAGTGACGTCAAATCATAATAGGTGATAACATTATAACGATGCAATATTTATGATGAAAATAGTTTGTGTGAAATAATTCCTCTGTATAGGATTATTTTAATGGCATGAGAAGGAAGCACCACACAACGAAAGCAAATTCTTTCTGTCTGCAGTGTCCGCCCTCTGGTGACAGATCATGCTATGTGCTTCAGATAAACATAGGAAGTCCCCAAACTTGCTAAATCATACTTTTTGACTTTTCCTTGTACAGAAAAAATAAACACAAGACTTTCAGTGTTTTGAAGGTGATGTTAAAAAAGATATTCTTCCGTTCAAAAATAAAAAAAAAAACATCACTAGATTCCGACATCTGAAGCCTATTTCGACAGTTTACAGCTACATGGAACACCGAGTGTGTCGACACTCTAAGCTGACCAATGAACGCGCACTTCTCTTCCTAGCTATGGCCGAGGTCGCACACGCCAGCGGACTGTGTCATAACAATATGACCATGTTTAATGCCATGTATGCAAATTAGGGAACACAATAAAGTCATGTACACAACAAATGAATAGTGAATGATTTTAATTTTATTTCATGAAAATATGTCGTAAAAATTGAATTGTCATTTTGTTTAAATTTAAAGTCTATATACAGGACTGTATAACTAAAAACGATATTGTAGTTGGAAACCAGTACACGAGTGCCGACGAAATATAGCCGCCATTTCCTGGTAATACGTCAAAGGCATGTTATCAACCGTAAGTTTAAACAACCCCAGAGGGCGCTGTGGGTCACGTCGTTGCAACCTGTCTTTTACCATTGCCATAACTTCCTCCATCACCGATAAGTTTACAATTCCTGCTTTAATTTCCAGTCGTAAAAGTTGTTTGCAATCTGAGACTAGATTCAACAGTCCGCGCTCAACGGGAAACGAACTTGCTTGTACTTCTATGAGGACACTCTTTAACGTGTTACCAAAACTCGTCGCTAGGTGGCGCAATGTGTCATCTGGTTTGAAGGTATCCTCCGGATTACTTCCTGTTATTTCTAAGTGTTTGAGCGGAATAGCTGGGTTCAGAATTCTTTTCACGGTGTCGTAGTTATAAACACCATCTAAACACATGGTTACAGATAATTGAGGACAATATTGTTGCAGTACTATCCAAGTAGAAGGGCGAATTACTTGTGTGTAAGGCTCGTCTTTACGACACTTAATATACAAGGTTTTCCAACAGTTAGCATTACTCACTCCCATGGCAAGTAACAAGTCATTTGATACACAGTTGTAATTCATCTTAACCTCTTCTAAGTTAGTGAATCTGACCATAGCTCTAATAAAATCAGCAGATCTGTAGATTGCCATATGAGATCCAAAGACATCTTCTAGATTAACATTACGCATTGTCTTGTTTGATCGCTTAGCAACTGCATCCAGTACACTGTATCCGTGTGATTCGCTCATCCACGATGACGACATATCAAATGATATTAAACTGTGTTGCGTCTTGAAAAATCGTACCATCGACTTGGTGAGTTTGGCTTGAGTTGCAATATCTTTGAAGTAGCGGTCAAGTTTAAGTTCGGTGAATGAAAAGCTCCGCAGTTGTGTATCTTGTTTGAACAAGTGGTTGAAGTAAGTCGTCAA